GAACTGTCATATGAAATTGCAGTGTGAGAAAAATTGCCCTGGATATGTGGCCAACAGATATTCACATATCACATTGCTAACAGGCACCTTAAAGGTCCTGGTGGACAGGGTTGATGGAGAGTAGGGCTGTCCTCTTCCCTCAGAACTGTGAGTTGAGATCACTACACCAGATCTTGTAGCCTGGTCTGAAGTTGCCACCATGGTCAGTGTGGTGTCCATGGTTCAGAGGAACGCCAGCAGTATAGGAAGAAGGTTAATGACCTTCTGTCCTGTGCCAGAGTAAGTGCCACTATCTTCTCTCAGCAACTTCACACACACACTACAACTCTGCTATTGCACCCACCAAGGCTCATGGTCTACCAGTCACAAATGCATGCAGTATCTTACCTCAGTCACTGTCATTTACCCATCCATCCCTACCCTGAATTTTAACCTGCACCATCACCAACAGCTGTGCCAGCCACTTTCATCTTATTCAATCCTTCTGTTAGTCTCATTATAAGAGAAACAGTCCACAATAGGGCAGAGAGAGCCAAGGTGAATGGTGAGATATTCAATATTTGTCACCTCACCCCCTGTGAGGAGAGAAACTTGCCTTCCTGGGAGAGATCAGTGACTGCTCAAGTGATGATGCCAAGACCTCCATATCCCAGCAACCAAGGAAATTTAATTAAGTGCTGTGCTGCTCCCTCATAACCTGCACTGTGAACATGTCTTCAGCATGCCTAAATGTCAACCCTTAATTTGCAACTCATTCTTTCTCGTTCGAATGAGTTGGGTAGGTTAGCTAGATTAGATTTGGGCATGCATTCTCGTGAGCACATCACTGCCACCGTGTCAAGATAATTCAAGTTCGGTCAACTTGTAGTCAAATGCATAGAATGTAGAAAGCTAGGAGGGAAAGTTGGTATTAAGATGTTCGGAAGTCCATTGGAATTGGTGCTTATTTACTCAAAAACTGGAAAAGATCCAAGGTGACACTTACATGAGACTTTTGAGAAAAATGTTACATGTCAATGGAAAGACACCGGAGCAAGTCAGTCACTGATCCTGGCTGATGATGCTGTTTACGTTCCAGAGGCATTGATTGATGAGGAAGGAAGTATTAATTGGAGGCATTCATGGAGGTTGAAATCTAGTCTCATAATACAGAGCTGGATTAAAAATTGACTTGGTAAATGGAGAAGTGATGGTTGGCATAGTGAAACAAATTCCTATCAAAGAAATCTATTTTATTCTGGGAAATGGTCTGGCAGGTTTGAGAATACTAGCTTCACCAAGGATGGTAGAACAACCAGGAGAGGTTTTTAAAAAATTGAAATGTTACCAGAAAATGTCCTGGATTGTTTCCTGATTCTGTCATGACTAGATCTCAGATCCTTAAAATTAGAAAGGAAACGAGTCTATGAAATAGATTGTGGAGGACCCCTATCTAAAATCATGAATGGAAGACAGTATTTTTTTAGTGATAATGGATGTTTCCATCAACTTTAAGGAAAATTACAGAAAAACTGATTGTGGAAAGCATAGTTCACTTTTTTTAGTAGATACAGGATTACACAAAGAAATACATTCGGATCAGGAATAAAATTTTATGTCACAGATATTTAAACAATTGATGACTAGTTTGAGAATTAAACAATTCAGATCTTTTATATAATTCTGACAACTTCAAGACGTATTGAAAAGATGACATCAAACTTTGAAGACAAAAATTAGAGGTTATTGTCAAGATTGTCCTGTTGATTCAGATAAGGGAATTCCTTTGTTACTGTTTGTCCTTAGGGATGTTATATGAACAGAGGAATCGGAGTGGGTGATTCAGCTCCACGAGCCTACTCTGCCATTAAATAAGATCATGGCAGATTTGTGAACTAACACCAGATGCCTGCTTTGAGCCCATAGTCCTTGATATCATTGCTCAACATAAATTTGTCTATCTCAGATTTAAATTTAACAATTGAATTAGCGTTGGCTGCCATTTGACAAAGAGCAATCCAAACCTCCGACATTCTTTGCATGCAGAAGTGCTTTCTAACATCTCTTCTGAGTGGCCTGGCCCTAATTCTTAGGCTACACCCCACAGTTCTAGAATCTTCAATCAGCAGAAATAGTTTATCTACCCTGTCTTTTCCTGGTAATGTCTTGAAGACCTCAATTAGATCATTCTTAACCTTCTAAATTCTAGAGAATTTAGGATTTAGTCCTTTTGAACAAATATATTGACATGAAGTAAGAGAACTTTTTAAATTGATTAATGTTAATAAACCAAAGCAAAGAAACAAAGTTTTCAATCAATGTCCTATATTTCCAAGAGAAACTAACCAACGTATATGAGTTGGCTAAGAAATAATTGAAGGAAGTTCAATAAACAATGAAAACTAGAGCAGATATAAAGGCTAAAGTTTGAATTTTTGTTGAAGGAGAGATGGTGTTAGTGTTGTTGCCTGTCTCTGGGAACCATTAAAAGCAAGGATTACTGGACCTTATCAAATCATAAGGAAATTCAGTGATGTAAATTATGTAGTGAGTTCCCCAGAGAGGAGAAAGAGTCAGCAAGTGCATCATCTTAACATGTTGAAATGATACGAATGATACAAAAACAGAAATTGATGAAGGAAGTCAACAGGTCTTGCAGCATCTGTGTAGAGAAAGCAGAGGTAATGTTTTGAGTCCAGTGGCCCTTCTACTTTTCTATTTTTACTGCCTGAGTAAATAACTGAGGGCCAGACACTGATCCTTCTGGCATTTCACAAGTTGCAGTTTACCACAATGAAAATACTTCACTTATTCCTACTCTCTGCTGTCTGTCTCTTAACCAATCTTCTATTCATGTTGATAAATTAACCCCAACTCCTTGAGCCCTACCTTGCATATCAGCATTTTTAATACTATGAATGTTTTATGGAAATCCTAGTATATTGCACCAACTACCTCTCTCTACCTACCTGTTATATCATTAAAAAATGCTAACTCTTCTATTCCACTCTTCAGTTATTTACAATCCAGATTAATGACTTTGTTACAGAGACTTAGAGTAATGCATCCACATGTGCAGGTGATACAGAGTTAGGTGAGAATGTAAGCTGGTTGGAGGACACAAAGCTGCTGAAAAGAGATGTAGATAGCTTAAAGAAAAAATAATAACGTCATATAGTGAGAGATTATTCACTTAGGTAGTAAAAATAGAAAAGCAGAATTTTAAAGAGGTGTGAAACTTAAGAGCCTTTGGGGTACTCGTACAAGAGATGCAAAGTCAGCAGACAGATACATCAAGCAATCAGAAAGGCAGATAACAAAATGCCATTCATTGCAAGCAGATTGGAGTACAACAATAAAGAAGTCATGCTATATTGTATATAGTGTTTTGGTGAGACCCCATCTAAAGTACTATGTGCAGTTTAGATCTACCTATTTAAAGAATAATATACGTGTATTGAAGATTCACTACTTTGGTTCCTAGGATGAAAAAGCTGTGCTATATTGAGAGATAAAGTAAATTAGACCTTTGCTGTCTGGAATTTAGAAGAAGGCTTGTCTCATTGAGAAGTGCAAGATTGTGAAAAGGTTTGACAGGGTAGACAGTGAGCAGCTGTTTCCTGTGCCTTGGAATTTAGAATAAGGATAAGAAGCTACTATTTTGGAATTATGATGAAATATGTTTTCACTGTAAGTGTGAATCTTTGGTATTGCTATCCCAGAGGATTGTGGATGTTCTATCATTGAGTGTATTTCAGGCTGAGATAAGTTTTGGTTTCTCAAGGAGTTGAGTCTAATGGGGACATTGTGTTGAAGTTGAAAGATCGTTTATGATTGTACTGAGTGGTGGAGAAGGCCCCAGAGGCTGGATGGACTACAGCTGCATTCCTATTTCTTATGTTTTTATGTAGATCTGTTGATGCACCAAATATTTAATCGTGCATATCCATGAAGCTTTATCTTTGGGCCATCCCATCAGTGCCCTGATTTGTCTCCTCTGCAGTAGAGTTTCTGTGCAACCTTGTTGTTCAGTAAAGTTGGATTCTACATGACCATTTACCCTTGCTGTAGCTGCAGGTCACATATGCCCAGTGACTCAGTGTGCAGATCCCACTTCTACACTACTCACTCTAAAGAATGCATAGTGGCTGTATCTAAGCTAGCGGATGTGAATGTCATATTGAATTATAGTGTTTCATCATTATCTGTCATCTTCTAATGGCACTTTATACTACTGCACCACTGCATGAACAAGGTAGCAGTCTTTGGATGCCTGAAAGGAGAAGGGCACAAGAATAGGATTGTAGTGAGGCAAAGTGGGTATGAGAAGCCCACCCCTTCAAACCCCACAACCTCAGCCAACACTGGGAAGCTACTGTCTCCTTTATCAGAATGAAGTCAAACAACCATGCTATCTTTATGTACTACTTGTCCTGCAAGGAAAATGTTAGTCAATGGGTATGATGCAATGTGATGAATGTGAGTATGAGCCTCCCAACAATATAAACTGTTTGAGAGTTAGCTGAATGTGAGATATGAACATGAATGGAGATTGTTGGTTAGTGTGAGATGTACTGAACAGTGTTTGAAATTATTGGTTCAATTGATGGATTGTGGCATTTGAAAGGTACTTTCACTAGCCTTGTCTATGTGTGTAAAATACTTGAATTTCTTTCAATGCTGAGTCTTAAGGACAATATTCCAGCACTGACCTTCTTCATATCTGCTGTATTTCATACTCAGAGGCTGTTCAAATGGCTTCCCAGCCTGCTACAGATAGAGACTCCTATCCTGCAATCCACTTCCTCCATCAAGACCTCCAGGTTGCAAGAAAAAGAGCCTTGAAATCAATTCTGCCATGTTGTGTCATTCCTTTGTTCTTCTCAAGTGACTTTTGCAACCATTTGCTGCCCCTGTTCTAGGCATGTGTCTACTTCTACGATGTCAAGAAATGCATGTTTACAGCAAGATGTTCGAGGTGATGCTTTTATAGAAGTACTAATTTTCTCCTTTTATTACAGGAAAAGAGGGTGTCCATGAGGCGACCAAGTCAGAATCCATCACTGATACAACTGATCTCGCACTGCCTCCTGAAATGCCAATTGTGATTGATCGGCATGCATTAAAAGATATTCTAGGACCTCCCATCTATGAAATGGAGGTAAGGTTGAATTTATAGTTTTATTATTTCAGTAAGTGGAAAATATGTTTAAAGCAAATAACCAGTAAATTGTGTATTGTAGAAAATCAGTAACAAACTTACATGTGTATGAATTACACTGGTTTACAGTTTTCAGAAATATATTCTTTAACGAACTCTGTGTGTCACATTTGTCGCATATCCCTAATTGTCTTTAAACTGAGTGGCTCGATAGGCCATTTTAGAAGGCAGTTAAGGGTTATCCACATTGATGTGGTTTACAAGTCATAAAAAGGGTCAACCATGTAAAGATGGGAGATTGCTATGAACCAGATGTATTTTTACGATGATTGATGACAATAATGGTGACCATGAAACTGAGACTTAACTTTCAATTCCAGATTTTGTTTATTAAATGAATTTAAATTCCACTGGCTGCCTTGTGGTATTTGAACTCGAGTCTTCAGAGTATTAGCCTGGGCCATGAAGTTACTAGTCCCGTGACATTAAGGAGACATTAGCACCATCTCTCTCGATGCTAACTAAATGAGATCGATACTGCATGTGTGCACTGTCGGTAAAGATTTTTTTCTCGACTCTGATAATCCTCATCTCCATCACAGTATTGCATTCAGACTTACTGCTGCAGCTCATAAGCCATGTGATATAGTATGCACATTTGGACTGCACACTAAGACTTTAAAATACTTTAGCATTGAATCTTTCTGATGCATTTTAACAGAATGATCACTGAGAACAGTCCTGTTATTTGATCCAGGTTACATTTTTGACTTTTGAGAAATTTGGAATTTAGTTAACTATGTTTGTTGACTCTTTTCCCAAAGGACTGAAAACAAAACAATTCAAGATCATCTGCTGTTTTCATTACATATTATTCAACTTAATTTCCACGCCTGGGTCTTAAGGTCCTGTAATCATTTGCCCTTGAGAAGATGGCGATGAGCTGCTTTCTTGAACTTCCGTAGTCCGTTTAGTAAAAGTCAGGGAGGTGGTTAAATTGTCTCTTGTTAAAGATGGTCATTACCTGGCACTTGTCAGCCCAAGCCTGGATATTGTCCAGGTCTTGCAGCATACGGACATGGGCTGCTGCAGTATCTGAGGAGTTGTGAATGGTGCTGAACATTGTGCTATCTTCAGTGAACATCCCCACATCTGACCTTATGAAAGAGAGAAGTTCATTTATGAAGATCAGTGAAGATTGATGATGGTAAGCCTAGGACACTACCTAAAGGAACTCTTGCCGCGAAGTTTTGGCACTAAGTTGACTGACCGTCAACAACCAACACTGTCTTCCTTTGTGCCAGGTATGACTTCAATCAGCAGAGAGTTTTCTTCATGATTCCCACTGATTCCCGTTCTGCTAGTGTCTTTCAATGCCATTCTCGGTGAAAGTACATTCAGGATATATTTCTGTGTTGCTATCACTGATGGTACTTCTTCCAGTTGGTGTTCAACATGCAGGAGAATGAGCTGGGGAGCGGGGTACAGTAGGGGACAGTCAGCTGCATGGTTACTTATCCATGTTTAACTTGATGCCGTGAGACTTCATGAAGACTGCACTCAGTGTTAAGGACTCTGAAGGCAACTGTGTGTGTACCACTGTGCTGCCACCTCTGGTGAGTCTATCCTGCTGGTGGGATCAGAATATCTAAGGATGATAATGGTGGTATCTAGGACATTGTGCATAACTGTGAGACTTTACATTGATAAAAGGGCTGTTCTTAAGGATCTAACTCAAAGATGACTCGTTACACACTAATGGTGTCAGATTCAAGTTTATTTGAGAAGAGGTGATGGTTTTTGTTATTAAACTAGTTCAGGATGATGGCCAAGTCCTATTTCACATAATTAAAAAAAACTTACAGTAAACCTTTTTCCATGTTCCGAATTGTGACGTGTCCTCCTTCCTGACATGAATAATGAAGGGCAGAGCTAACAGCATGATCAGACTTCCCAACCTGCCTTAAAGTGGTCATTTAACAGCTCCTTGAGGGCCTTAATGCGCCACCAGCTGGCTTCATAACTGGGAAACTGGAGTGACCTGCCTGCCAGATTATGAGGGGTAGCCTTTGTTTGACCTAATCCGAGAACATTTGGGAACACAGATGGAGGTATGGGGCAGTTTGTTATGCCTCGTTATTTCTGGTTTTATCAAAACAATTAAAGATTTTAAAATGCACACAGAATTCCCCAATCTATGTGTCCTTTAGGCCCAGGGTGACAAAAAGTATGGACCAGGTTTCTGAACTTACAAAGAACTTCAATTTGTTATAGAGTCTAGCTATAGAAAATTATGAATGTCGAACATATAACTCCTATAGAAATGATAAAGAAATATAAATTTGGGACCCCAAGAAACAGGTTAAAAAAAAAAGTTTTATAAATGGAGGGAGACTGAGAAGGCAGTTCAGTGGTCCTTTTGAACAGTGAACAGTTTGCTGAGATGTTCCTTTTGGCTTGTCAAGATGTGCTGCTCCTTGATTCTCCTTCTCTAGATACTTTGTTTTGCAGTACAAGCCTGGTATTTTTTAGCCATAAGTCCAAAAACTGTAAATAACTTAAAACCTAAGGTCCTTTCAAAAACTGATCCAAACAGGCTTGTAGTCACATGGAGTTGGTTCGGTGGACCTAAAAGCAAATTTTTTTTTTGGCCTGAACTTGGCACGTATGCAGGTCTGTCGGGTGTGTTTGGGCCCTGTCGGGGAAAAAAATGGGTAAGTGTATCCGAAAACCAAAAATATCCTTTAATCAAAAACCATTTGGTCCTGAAATTTTTAAACAAAGTATCCAAATCTGTGGTAGTGGCTGGTTTGTGCTGATGGGGTGGAATTACTAAATGAATCACTTGACACTCAGGTCCCTTCAAGCATCAAAGTGTTTACTGTTTTACACTGGTGGGGAGAGAGCCTGTGGCAATTGAGGGACTTCTCCACTGATCAAGGGAAACATACACCTTTTATACATTTGTTCTTAGCCCACCTTGGCAGTTACAAATCAATCCTATTATTGATTACATACACATCAAATCCCGTTAATCATGGACAGCTTTAGGTCACCCCATGATCAAATTATGTTTGCCTGATCCCCTTATCATTATCATTATCCTTAAGTCTTCACAATACACCTCATTCAACCACATCCCAGATTTAGCTCCCGCACCAGTTATACAGCACTCTTCTGCTAATAGGAAGAGGCCTTTTTTATGGCTTAGACCGAATATCCACAGGAATGCAGTTAATTGTCTCTACACAAGCAACTATATCTGTTCTTCTTCCGCAGGGCCCATTTTATACATTTACAAGACTCTTTCTCTGTTACCTTAATCTAATTACTTGGGTATACTCCTTCTATGAAGATAGCTAATTACTCTAGTTTATAGTTTAATTTCAGAAGCAGACAATGGAAGCTGCTGTTTCAGCTCACAATCTTCATCAGCCATTTTATTTCAACTGAAAACCATTTTCAGCCATTTTATAATGCATCAGCCATGGGCAGCCCTAAGAATACTCATGAAATTTTTGGCTTACTGATTAAGAGCTACAGTTTATAGCAACTGATAAGTAAAAAATAAGGTGGCTTTCTTTAGGCTTAAATTTGTACTTTTTGGAGAGAAAAGAAACAGTTCCTACATCTGCAGTGATCAGATGGCTTCTTCCAAACATTCACAGCCCCCAACCTGTTCAGCCACCTAATAAAAGATCATGTAATAGTTTGCAGGCAGGAGGCCTTTGTCATCAATAACTGGTCATTAGCCCACATACCAATCTGCTACTTGTTGCTAGCCAAATCTTTACTTGTACACAGCCACTAGGTTCTAACCCATCTGTAAGCAGACTTCCACTACTGTTTGAACAAGCGTTTTTGTAAACAGCATTACAGTGAATGTCAGGTTATTTTTAAAAAGCGTAGCAATCTTTCAGCCACCTTGCTTTTTAAACCAGTTCTTTTTCCCATTTCATTCTATGATCAAAAAATACGGAAAAGAAATGGCATTTACAACCCACTAAAGCCAACCTCCTTTCCTTTCCTTCAACTCACCTACATCTTCCCCCAACTCAGCTTTTACTGACAGCCAAATCCTATGATTTATCTTTCCCCGCTACCCCCTTTAAAAAGTCACTAACCATTTTGTTGGTCCCAGTTTTCATTGTTGCTGTTCAGCCAGCAGCCTAGCCTGCCATACAGGTTGCTGCTGCACATAGTAGTTGCCAGCCTCTGATTAACTGGCAGCTTCAGGTGGAATGGGAGATTTGTGCCACCAAATCTATTGGTTGAGAAGCCTGCCAGGTCACCACTTAAGTGCCTGATTTTCATTTGATCCATCAGGCTTTCTTACCAGTGTGGACAGGGGTTTCCCTAAGGATGTCCTCCCCCACACTTTATCAAAAAAGAAGGAAAATCTAGGCCCAAGAGAGAGATTATTCCCTTGCAATAGATTTTACTGCCAGATAAAATTTCTAGAATTTGAGTGTCAAATCAGAGAAAATCTGTTACAGGTTTGGAATTATACTATTCTTAAATATCTAGAGAAGACTTGCAACAATTTTGAAGTTTTGTTTCTTTGTCATTGTTTAGAAGACACAAGTTAAACCATTCATTTAGGAGAATGTGTGCCTGTGTTAGCAATCTGAATATTCATCCAGTGGGAGCAAACATTTGGGACAGTGGGAGGAGCCAAGTGGATGTAGAAAAATACCAGTTGAAGCACTGATGAATTTTTCTTTCAATGTGTAATCCAGGAAATAAAAACGAGCAATGTTAACTGTTTTTATGTTAATTCAAGTACGACTCTTCCTTGTTGAAATCCCATTCACTGTGAATCTTTTATGCTAAAACACACTATGGCCAGATTATTGGCACATCGGTGAACTGGTCCAGCTTGGCAAAAATTGCAGAAGTAGCCTGAAGTCACTGTCGCTGCCAATGAAACCAGCATTTCCTATTTCCATGGCCATGAGAGTGGAGTTTAGGCTTGAGCATCACACTTGCATGATTTCCAGAGGCAGCTGGCCACTTGAATGGTCAGCTGTCTCCAAGTGCCATTTTGACAAACTGGTTGCATCAGATTACACATGTTTGGGGGTAGGGGCAGGTACCTTTGGGGAATTGGTTATATTTAGCTTACATGGACACTTGTGAATATTAGATGAGTTGGCATAGTATGTGATGGGGAAAGGGTGGTGTGTGGAAGTAGGCGTTAATTGGGGGGGGGTCATGTGGGGTCATGGAAGTTGGGTTAAGAGCCATGTAAATATGCAGAGGACCTTAGGTGGCATGGGTTGGCATTAATCGGGCATGGGAGTCTGAAGGTTGAAGACTGGAGGTATGTTTTATATGTAGTTCTTTTATTTTAATTCATGGGCAGAATTAGCTTCCTCAGCTCTTCCTACATTGCCTCACCCAACTTCCAATCCATCCTGCCTCCTCCTGACTAAAAATAGGTAGTCTGGCTGGCAACTTTTAAAGGTCGGGTTCATGGAGCTGGGATTTATCTGCATCTGCACCCAGAACCTGGGAATTAAAAACAGGGCTCATGTTCTGTAATATTTTCTGTTACAGGTTTAAATTTAACCTCCTGAAATTCCAATGAACATTTGTTGATGGATAATGTAATCCATTTTGGTAGATAAGGCAAGCGTCTTGGGTGAACGATTATCTATTTAACTCCCCAATATTGGTGATTAGTTCATACCTGTTCACAGATTGATTCTGTACCTTCGTTTCATGTGATTCCCTAGAATCCTCATCTAGCTGTTTTATTTAAGAAAGACACAAAAACATTGATGCATAGAAAGGCTGTTCAGGCACTTCTATTTAAGAAACCAAATGAGTCAAATGGAAAGCTTGTTTATTAAAAATAAATGATATCTAATAGACTCAGGATGCATTTGGCGCTATCCCATTTTGGCTGGTTGGTTCAAAGAGAACTTTTGTTTCCCTAGCACTCAACCGAAAGTGGTTGCATGCAGGAAGTCTATCTGATCTTACAGATATCCCTTCCATATTAAACCAGTTCCTACTTGATATTCAAAATTTCCATATTATAGTGGGGATCATAAGTAGTGATCTTGGCTGATATTCTTTTTTTCTTGCTTTCTCAAGGGGCACCAGAAAAAATTGTCGTACCCTTTACCATAACCTCAGCAGTATCGATTAGAGAATAGTCATAGAGTCAGTCATACACTACAGAAACAGACCCTTCAGTCCCACCAGTCCATGTCAAACGTAACCCAAACTAAACTAATCCCACTTGCCTGCTCCGAGGCCATATCCCTTGAAACCTTTCCTATTCATGTACCTATCCAAATGCCTTTTAAACACTGTAATTGTAACTACATCCACTACTTCCTCAGGAAGTTCATTCCACACACAAACCACCTCTGTGTAAAAAATTCTCCTCTCACTTTAAGAATGTGCCCCCTAGTCTTGAAATCTCCTATTCTAGGGAAAAGACAACTACCATTAACTCTATCTATATCTCTCATTATTTTATAAACTTCTGTCAGGTTGCCTGTCAACCACCTAAGCTCCAGTGAAAAAACTTCCAGCCTGTCCAGCCTTTCTTTATAACTCAAACCTTCCATCCCGGCAACTTCCTGGTAAATCTCTTCTGAACCCTCGCCAGTTTAATAATATCCTTCCTATAACTGGGTGACCAGAACTGGACACAGTATTCCAGAAGAGGCCTCACCAATGTCCTCTACAACCTCAATATGACTTCCCAGCTCAGGTACTCAAAGGACTGAGCAATGAACACCAGCGTGCCAAACATCTTTTCAACCGCCCTGTCTAAATGTGACGCAAACTTCAAAGAATTATGCACCTGCACCCCTGGGTCCCTCTGTTCTACAACACTACCCAAGGCCCTACCATTAATTGTATAAGCCCTACACCTGTTTGTTTTACCAAAATGCAATACCTCACAGTTATCCAGGTTGAACTGCCATTTTTCAGCCCATTGACCCATTTGATCAAGATCCCTTTGTATTCTTAGGAAACCTTCTCCACTGCCTACTATGCCACCAATTTTGGTATCAGCTGCAAACTTTCTAACCATGCCTTCTATATTCTCATCCACATCATTTTATGTAAATAACAAACAAAAGAGGACCCAGAACCGATCCCTGCGAAATACCGTTGGTGATAGGTCTTCAGTCCAAAAAGCAACCCTCCTCCACCGCGCTTTGTCTCCTGCCGTTAAGTCAATTATGTATCCAATTCGCAAGCTAATCCTGAATCCCATGTGACTTAACTTTAATAAATAATCTACCATGTGAAACCTTGTCAAAGGCTTTACTAAAATCCAAATAAACAATGTCTGCTGCTCTGCTATCGTCAATCTTTTTGGTAACTTCTTTAAAAAAAATCCATAAAGTTTGAGAGACACTATTGTCTTTGCACAAAACTATGCTGACAATCTCTAATCAATTTCTGCCTCTCTAAATGTCCATAAATCCTATCTTTTAAAATCACCTCCAACAATTTACTCATAACCGAAGTCGGACTTACATGTCTATAGTTCCTTCCTGATACCTTCTAGCCTGCATGGCACTATTCCACACAAGGCAGTGTCATTACCAACTGAAGCATCAGAAGGCTACTTAAATAGAGTTTTAAACTGCTTTCTGGAAATAAGAAAATCAATTTATAAAACTTTGAATGTGTTCCTTTTTTGTCATACAGGTATCTCAACGCCTGAGCCAACCTGGTGTGGCAATAGGCTTGGCTTGGACACCATTAGGTGGTGAGATTATGTTTGTGGAAGCAAGCCGAATGGAAGGAGAGGGTCAGTTGACTCTAACAGGACAATTAGGGGATGTTATGAAGGAATCGGCCCACCTTGCAATAAGTTGGCTACGCAGCAATGCAAAGAAATATCACTTAACGAATGGTATGCAAAATGTGTTCTCGTGAGAATAACTACAGTGTAATAATTTCAGCAGTGTCTGTTGACGACTAAAGCCTTAACCCATGAAGCATTCTTTTTATAATTCAAGACAGAATAATTTTTCCCTAAATAAAGAGCACAAGTACTAGCTTGAAGAGCAAATCAGAGAGTGGGAATTCTGTGGTGAGTAACTCACCTCCCGACCTGCCAAAGTCTGTCCACCATCCACAAGGCACAAGTCAGAAGTGCAATGGAATATGCTCCACTTACTGGATGAGTGCAGCTCCAACAACACTCAAGGAGCACAGTGCCACCCATGACAAATCAAACTGCTTGACTGGCACCCTATCCACCATCTTCAGCATCCATTCTGTCTACTTTTGGCAGTGAGTGGCAGTGGTTGTGTACCATCTATATGACTCTCAAAGCAACCTTTGACAACATCTACCAAGCCTGTGACCTCCACATTCTGGAAGGAAAAAGGCAGATGATGCATGAAAACACACCACTTGCAAGTTCCCTCAAAGCCAAATAGCGTCCTGACTTGGAGTTATATTGCTGTTCATTCACTGTCTCTGAAACAATATTCTGGATCTTTCTCATGAACAGCTCTGTGCGTGTACATACGCCAGATTGACTACCGTGGTTGGAGGTGGCTCACCAGCACCTTCTCGAGGGCAGTTCAGGGTGGACAACAATAGTCACAACCAGTGAAAAGATATAAGCAAACACAGATTTAAGATTCTTCAAAGTTTACCAGCAATATTTAGCATTTAGAGACCTATTAGTATACTATTTTGGCATAAAAAGAAGTGCCTCCATTGCCAAATTGACCCGATCTAGCCTGGATGAAACAGTGTTCTTTATGGTTGTCAGAAATGTTATTCAGTTTTATTATTGTTGAAAAAAGAAGATACCTAGATCTTGTACATTTTTCTAGTGAGCAGATTTCTCCAATTTATAATTACAGTGTTGTATGTAACTGTATATGCTGAAAGTATTTAGAACATAAGAACTAGGAGCAGGAGTAGGCCATCTGGCCCCTTAAGCCTGCCCCGCCATTTAATAAGATCATGGCTGATCTTTTTGAGACTCAGCTCCACTTACCCGCCCACTCACCATAACCCTTAATTCCTTTATTGTTCAAAAATTTATCTAGCCTTGCCTTAAAAACGTTCAGCGAGGTAGCTTCAACCGCTTCACTGGGCAGGGAATTCCACAGATTCACAACCCTTTGGGTGAAGAAGTTCTTCCTGACCTCAGTCCTACATCTGCTTCCCTTTATTTTGAGGCAATGCCCTCTAGTCCGAGTTTCACTTGCTAGCGGAAACAACCTCCCTGCCTCCACCTTATCTATTCCCTTCATAATCTTATATGTTTCTATAAGATCTCCCCTCATTCTTCTGAATTCCAATGAGTATAATCCCAGTCTACTCAGTCTCTCCTCATAATCCAACCCTCTCAACTCTGGAATCAACCGAGTGAATCTCCTCTGCACCCCCTCCAGTGCTAGTATATCCCTTCTGAAGTAAGGAGACCAAAACTGCACACAGTACTCCAGGTGTGGCCTCACCAGGACCCTATACAGCTGCAGCATAGCCTCCCTGTTTTTAAACTCCATCCCTCTAGCCATGGTAGACAAAATTCCATTTGCCTTTTTAATTACCTGCTGCACCTGCAATCCTACTTTTAGCGATTCATGTAAAAGGACACCCAAGTCTCTCTGCAGAGCAGCGTGCTGCAATTTTTCACCATTTAAAACATTGTCCATTTTGCTGTTATTCCTTCCAAAGTGGATGACCTCACACTTATCAACATTTCATTTATAACTGCTTGTCAGGATTACAGAAAGTGGTATTCACCAAGAATCCTTATCTTAAACAAAATTAACTCAAATTCAGGGCACACCACCATTAACTATTGGGGAATACCAGTAAAAATGTATGCCTATTACTGAAGTACACTCAATTCTGCATGCTTTATGACCAGCAAAATTTGCAATGCTTTAACTTCTTGTCCACTATGGTTTTTGCCTGGTATCATTTATTTTTGTTACATTCCATTTGACCATTTGGTCTTTGCATTACAGAATGTGGAGTCAGTTTAATTATTTTAGAAACATTATTTTCTTATCATTTTCTTCATGTCAAGAGAGACCTATTGAATATTACATTTCTAAACAAAAGGTTTGTTTGAAATTAACATTTCAGATGAAAATACTTCTATAACTATTGCTCTGAGAGATTTAGGAGGGCAATTAGCAGATTCTTCTTGTAGCGGAATTGTTTCCTTCAACCTTTACCAATCACAAGATTAATTGAGTAGAGTTTTAACTTTTATGTTCTGCATCAAGCTACAAAGGAAATGAAAGAAACATAGAAAATAGATACAAGAAGTTGCAACACCATTCAGCCCCAGCAGCCTGCTTTGACTTTCACTGAGCATTGTAGATCGTCTATCTCAATGCCATACTGTTATTATCGGGCCAGTGCAGTCCTATCAGAATTTTATGTGTTTCAATGAGATCCTGTTTCTTTCGTCTAAATTCAAGTGACCACAGGCCGAGTGGCACAATTGGCCTGATGAACCTTTGCTGAATGCCCTTTATAGCAAGTACATCTTTTCTAAGCAAAACTACACCTAATACTTCAGATGTGGTTTCGTCAATGTCTTTCACAGCTGCAGCAGACAGTCCTTGTTCCTGTACTCAAATTCTCTTGCAATGAAGGCCAACATACCATTTGCCTTCCTGAATGCTTACTGTACCTGGATGCTTGCTTTCAGATAAGGACACCCATATCTCTTTGTACATCAACAGTTCCCAATTTATCACCATTTAAATAATAGTCCACTATTTTGTTTTTTTTCTTACAAAAGTGGATAACTTCGTACTTGCCCAAGCACTGATCCCTGTGGTACTCTACCAGCCCCTGCCTTCCATTCTGGAAAAGACTCTTTTATTTCTACTCTCTTCCTGTCTGCTCACAATTCTCAATCCATGCCAGTATTTTATCCCCAATCTCATAACCTCTTTTTAATGGGCTTTATCAAAAGTTCTCTGAAAATCCAAATATACCACACCCACTGTTTTCAAACTTACTAGTTTGTCAAACATGATTTCCTTTTCGGAAATCCATGTTGACTTTTTCTAGTCACATTGATATTTTCTAGATTTCCTGTTATTGTATCCTTTATTATGAACTCTAGCATTTTACCTACCACTGATTTTATACTAGCTGCTCTATAATTCCGTTTTTTCTCTCCCTCCTTTTTTTAAATTGTAGGGTTACACTCCAATTTGCCAAGACTAATTCAGAATTTACGGAATTTTGGAAGATGGCAACCAACCAGTTTCTAAGGCCACATCCTTTAGAATGCAGGGATTTAGACTTTCCGCTTTCAGTCCTGTTAATTTTTAAAGCATTTTTTTTACTAATATCAGTTCATTCCATTCTTTCCGTGCATTAGACCCTTTCTTCCCTATCATTTCTATGAAGACAGAACTAAAGTAGTTGTTTAATTGCTATGCTATTTCTTTCTTCTCCAATATCAATTTTCTCATATCAGAATATGGGGCCCATATTTGTCTTGCCTAATCTTTTTCTTTTTACATACAAATAGAAACTTTTACAGTCTTTGTTTTTTTTTTGTTCCTTGCATGTTTACTCGCATATTCTATAATCTCATGGTCCCTCTTGGTTGAATTCTAAACCGAAGGAATTGTATTTATGTACTATTTCTGTGAAATGTTTGTGAAGTTACGATATTATTGTGGCACCCAAGTAATGAACACAGAAGAGCACAAATAACAAGATAATGACCAGATGGTTTGTTTTAGCCATGTCAATTGAGTATTGCCAAATTGTGGGTTCATTTAATTAGTGTTTTACTTGAGAAGTTGATTTTCTCGTAAGATAAAACGGTGCACTGAGATTTGTCGTACTGTTTCCAAGGGCCCCCAATCAGAGGATTATGGAAACAATGGCTATATGATTGTTCTGTATGAAATTAATTTCTAATTTATGTGCAAAAATGTATTATAAAAACTTCTGCCTATGGTTTAATATGGAAATATGGTGTTTTTGGTAATTACAACAATCGATATTTGTCTTTTCCCCCATTTAGCTGCCGGTAGCTTTGATCTGCTTGACAACACAGATATACATCTACATTTTCCAGCTGGAGCTGTTACAAAAGATGGACCATCTGCTGGTGTCACTATAGTAACCTGCCTTGCCTCTTTGTTCAGTGGGCATTTGGTGCGTTCTGATGTAGCAATGACAGGTGAAATAACATTGCGAGGCCTTGTCCTGCCAGTAAGTATTTAAATTTCTGAAGAACATTACCCTTACCTCTCATTCACTTTGTATTATGCACAATATTGAGAAATTTGACCAGTTTTTACTTCATAAACTAAATGACCTTTAAGAAATGCAGACAAATTCATCTTCCTGTTTTCAAATATTAACCATCTCATTAATTAAATTCTTCTTGGCTTCAATTCAATCTCATTATTCACATTGCAGTTTTATTTATCTCCTGAATGTGTATTGTGTTAAGTGCTGGTTATGGAAGTTATTCTTCAATCAAATTACCCCATTTATATCTTTCTTACCAAAGAATATTTTAGAATTGTTTCTAAGTCTTTATTGAAGTATTTACTGGATGTGCACTCTGGCAACATTTTGTCTATTAGTGAAATCTCACACCTGGCAATATTCATCATCATCTAATGTGCCAAACTGCCATGTTGGTGGTGTGGCCCTTATTACATCTTTATCTCACATGCCAAATCCTGGTACCTTCTTGCAATTCAGTATATTCCACCTTTCCCTACTTTCTTACACAACCATACCCCCCCGACCCAGTCTCAGTTGAATATCATCTCCCTAAGCTCCAGTCTAAATTTCTGACTTAAATATCCTCCCTCAGTCACTGCTCATTCGTACTGCTTGGTGATTGCAGTCTCCATTTCAAATTGCATCTTCTTTCCGATGATTTAATCTCACCTGTCATTTTTTTAAATGCTCCCTCCGTATAAGCTCTCCTGCCTGTGTTCACAGCTGTCCTCTCAGCCTTGCCAACTTACAATGCCTCTGTGCTGTTATCACTTTCTTGTATTCCTCAGAGCCCCTACCAACCCCACTTTTCTCTGTGCCTGACCCTGGGATAAACTGTCCCTTAGCTTATGTACAACAGCATCTGTTTAACCTTTGGTTCTTTATTCAAAATACTACTTCTGCAGCTGTGACTCTGCATTTAATACAAAGAACAGAAAGTAAAGAGCTAAGGGAGGCATGATAGGGCAAAATGTCATGGCATCAGCTGTTAGATTGTGTGAAAGGATAGACATCTGTTTGACTTCCTGGTTAGTTGCCACATTTTGATCTGTGGCTTTGGAAAACCACAGACTTTGAACACCAATATTGTTTTTCTAATAGCTCGTGCTTTCTACCTAATAGAAATATAAATTAATTTCTGTGCAGTTCCTCAGTTGCTATGGGAAAGCACATCACTTTTGCTGAAATTTGCCATTGAAGTGCCATCGAATTTGAACATAAAGTCAGCAGCATTGATGTTGTTATTATGCATCCTCACTGCACTAGTTGTGCAGTTGTTGTTTCTCACTCAACAGCCCATTCTTTGTTCACCTTTTTGCCTCATTCTCCACTCCTTTTCCTATTCTCCATTCCCTTTGCCGACTCTTTTTCCAATCCCCTCATTGTCCTGCCCATAGTTCTGTTCTGTCCACTCCATTCACCGCCACACTTGCTGTACTATTCACTAATCTACTGGCAACGCCTTTGCTGCTGCACCTCAATGCCCAACTTGCCACATCCTTCAGGGAGTGGGGCAGCCAGGAGGTTGGCACATGAGGTCCTGAGAACTCTTTGAGTGCCCTTCTGGGTCAGTGACTTGGCAATTCATTTCACGCCACCACATTAAGTAAACTTAAAGTATGAAGCCATGACCCAAGTCCATGACATCACTAGCAGTGAAACCACAAGCACTACACTTGCAAGGACTATAAGTGTGTCCCCTGCAGTTAGGATAGTAGCAAAAGGAGCCTTTAAAAATACAGATAGCAAGATTAGCAAATGTCAATCTAACACTTAACTGTTTATTTTCAATTAATTCATGGAATGTGAACATTATTTAAGGTTTTAGCAAAGATCTGTAGCTCAGGTTGTGGATGAGGTTGCTGACTTGCTCGCTGAGCTGGTTTGTTTTCGTTCAGACATTTCATCACCATGCTAGGTAACATCATCAGTGAGCCCTCCGATGAAGCTTCATGATGTTACCTAGCATGGTGACGAAATGTCTGAACAAAAACAAACCAGCTCAGCGAGCAAGTCAGCAACTGGTGAGCATCATTGACAAGGAATTTATTGCCCATCCTTAATTGCCGTTGAATGTGGTCATTAACTGTCACCTTGAACAGCAAAAGTCTATGCAATCTTGTTAAGGGGAGAGTTCCAGAATTAGGTCCAAGTCAAAATGATGTGTACCTTGGAAAAGAGCAAGTGCATCTGCTCCATACATCTGCTGTTGTTTTTCTCAGTGGTAGAAGTCATGGATTTGGAAGTAGGAGGCTTGTTGTAGGAGGCTTGCAGAGTTGCTGCAGTGCACCTGATTGATGGTAGACACTGCTATCACTCTCTATTGATCGTGGAAGAAGTGAATACTTAAAATGGTGGATCTGGTGCCTATCACCCTGGTTGCTTTGAGCCACTGGTTAAATGCTATTTTTCAATTGCATGGTAGTCATGTTGATATTTTTTACAATGGTGAATAACCACAGATCTCAAATTTATATGGCCCAGGCCAGAATTATCACTGTTTGTCCAGAAGCCAGAATCTTAGCCAGTGTTGAGTATTTATATATGTCTGTATAAGGAGCATGGGACGGTGTCCTTATAAAACATTTTTACGGTGGAGGCTGTTTTGAAGGTATCTGAAGATCATTGTGAGAATGACAAAGTGATCAGTTTCAACGAAACTGAAGGGTTTTGCAAATTTGACACATGACCTAACACTGGGAAAAACAGTGAGGCAAAGCAGTTTGCAAAATCTTCCTTCAGTCTAGTTAAGATCTCTGAAGATTATATTTAATCTCTAAATTGAGGTGGATGTAATTTTGTTTGAGCTGTTTAGTTAAAGGAAAACAGAAAGAGGTTGCATTAACGTTCAGCATTTTCTAATTTAGGGTTTAACTTCTTCAGCCAACAGCTCTGTATCTTTATCACCACTCATTGCTAGGAATGTTTCTCACTGTTTTCATGTGGTTATTCCTGCCTCAGCGACATCATTTTCTGTTGGAATCTCAGATTATCCAGTTTAAGCATCCTCCTTCATGCCACAAATAAACTAATCAGCCTGTAATGGGAATAGTACCTCATCAAACTGCTCTGGTTTCTTATCCTTGAGCACCACTGTTTGTAAGGCTTTACATTATTTATACCTGGTAGGTACAGTCTGAAAAACTTAAACCAGTGGGAAACATTTATTCTAAAACTTTGAAATGTACTATTAAGTCTTCTATTGAGGAAGTGTTATGATCTTAATCTCATCCAATAGATTAAGAATGATATGGGAATTATTTATTAAATACTCAGTTTTTTTTTTGAAGGACCTGGAATCAACTTTTCTTGTACACTATGCTGCTGAATACTTCTAATTCTTTTCTACCAGGTGGGTGGAATAAAGGACAAAGTTCTGGCTGCACACAGAGCTGGACTGAAGAGAGTTATTCTACCAAAACGAAATGAGAAAGACCTGGATGAAATTCCTACCAACATGAGAGAAGACCTTGATTTTATAACTGCATTTTGCTTAGATGATGTACTTAATGCTGCATTTGATGGAGGGTTTCCAGCTGAGTCAAGACCTAGTATTTTAAATAGTAAACTCTAAAATGTTTGCTATTTAAATCTGTATTCTTGTTGGCGTAACTTTAATGCAACAAACACACTTTCTGGAGAAGTTATTGTACTTTGTGATGTTTTAGAGAATGATAGAATGCAGGTTTGCACCCACAGGTTATTGACTGAACTGTGCTATGTTCTCAAAGGAAGGTAAATTCTGAAGGCAAAACACTTGCCTTGTGCAAAGAGGGAAGATTACTTTGGGCTGTAATGCATACCTTCCAGCAGCTAATTTTCAAGCGGATTGACTGAGGCATTTTCAACAAGGGAAGGCATATAGCCTGGTGAAAGAGAATAATATAAAACAAAAATTGTTATAAACCCATTAAATCTATTTTGCTAAAATTCTTTCAAAAAGACTTAACAATATTCCTATTACATTGTGATGCTTATCATACAATGAAAGTTGTACAATCAATTTATTTTGATTTGTGCCTAGCAACAATGATAATGATCTGTTATTTAAAGACTTAGCAAATTAATGAAGTGATGGTCTTTAACTGTCAATGTTGATAGTTGTAATGTTGGAATAAAATATTCTAATCTAAGCTAGTTATAATTTATTTCTCTTCTTCAAGCAAATTCGTACTAAAATATTTACCTTTGTTTTAGGCTGCATATTATTTTCAGTTACATGGGAACTATGGAAAGCCTATCCAGATTTATTTCCAATTATTTCCTTAGGTTGCAGAATTTCAAGCCACGGTGGCTCAGTGGTTAACACTGCTGTCTCACAGCATCAGGGACACAAGCTCAGTTCCAGCTCAGGTGACTGTCTGGAATTTGCACATTCTCCCTATGTCTGCGTGGGTTTCCTCCGGGTGCTCCAGTTTCCTCCCACAGTCCAAAGATTGGCAGGTTGGTTGGTGGATTGGCCATGCTAAATTGCCCCGTAGTGTCTGGGGACGTGCAGGCTAGGTGGATTAGCCAGGGGAAATGCGGGTTATAGGGATAGGGTAGAGGGGTGGTCTGGGTGGGATGCTCTTCGGAGGATCGGTGTGGACCCAATGGGCTAAATGGCCTGCTTCCACGCTGTAGCAATTCTATCATTCATCTTAAAAAAAAAAAAAAAAAAAAGGCTATTATCGCCAAAGCAAAAATCATGGATAAAATAGCAGGTGGCAGGAATTGCCTGGTCATGTTAAATATGCGGATCCACATGCCTCCCTTTTGGTCCTCCCAGTGTGGGTCTGCTCTTGTTGGGAGTGAAAAATCTAGCTCATAACTGGATAAATATAACTGTTGGTCTTCCACAATTCTGAAAACAGTTACTTATAGTAACCTTCTACGTATTGCTGCTGCTGTCTCAGCTATACCAAATACAGTAATAGGGTAGATTTGTTTCAGTGCAAAGCACTGACAAACAGCAAGAATTTCAAACATTAAAAAAACTCTTAAAGAGATATTGTTGTCAGTTTCCTGTTGGATAGTATTTGCAAACTATATTCTTTGAACTTCACGTTAAATTTCATGAATTATCAGAAAGCTGTGAGGAGCTAACAGCAGTTCCCAGTATAGAACATAGAACATTACAGCGCAGTACAGGCCCTTCGGCCCTCAATGTTGCGCCGACCTGTGAAACCAATCTGAAGCCCATCTAACCTACACTATTCCATTATCATCCATATGTTTATCTAATGACCATTTAAATGCCCTTAAAGTTGGCGAGTCTACTACATTTGCAGGCAGGGCATTCCACGCCCTTACTACTCTCTGAGTAAAGAACCTACCTCTGACATCTGTCCTATATCTATCACCCCTCAATTTAAAGCTATGTCCCCTTGTGCTAGCCATCACCATCTGAGGAAAAAGGCTCCCACTGTCCACTCTATCTAATCCTCTGATCATCTTGTATGTCTCTATTAAGTCACCTCTTAACCTTCTCTCTAAGTCCCTCAGCCTTTCCTCATAAGACTTTCCCTCCATACCAGGCAACATCCTGGTAAATCTCATCTGCACCCTTTCCAATGCTTCCACATCCTATAATGCGGTGACCAGAACTGTACGCAATACTCCAAGTGCGGCCGCACCAGAGTTTTGTACAGCTGCAACATGACCTCATGGCTCCGAAACTCAATCCCTCTACCAATAAAACCTAACACACCGTACGCCTTCTTAACAATGCTATCAACCTGGGTGGCAACTTTCAGTGATCTATGCACATGTATGCAGGCCCTGTGAATGAGGTTTCATCCCAAGAGCATGTATTCATCATGTGAAAACTTGGGAAGTATAGACCAGTTTAAAAATTCTCAGAAACTATGCGTTGACTATGTCAAAAAAGTTATATTACGAGATTACAGACTTCCAAAACCATACTACAATGACTGTAAATTTGCACTGACAGATGCACCTCCCTGGTAATCGCCATATAATCCATGTATGCTTGTATTGGCTTAATTCCAATTCTCCACATTTACATTGGGCACTCCTACAAATATCTGCAACTGCCTTAGGAGAAGAAATCAAGATCTGGACCCTTTGCCCTACAATATGGTGCTGAACCACACACAGCCAACTCTGTTTGGGATAACTTGGTTAATAATTTGCTGTAGTCAAAAAAAAATCATGATCACAGCTTTAGCTGAGAAACTATAAGAAAGACTATACAAAAGCAGGGATCTGGAAATGGTGGAAATCTGAACTAATAAAAGAATGCTGGAAATAATTTGTAGATCTGCCAACATTTATGGAGAGACAACCAGTTATTGAGCTGGATTTTCCACACTCAATGCAAGCAAACCCACATTGGAAGTACCAATAAGGAGACATACAGGACTGCAAATTTAAAATGACCAGGCCATTTCTGCGATCTGCTACATTCCTCATCTTGGTAGGTCATGACGCAACACACATCTAAATCAACATTAGATTTGCTACTTAGATGCCGCCTCCAAATATAATTTTCCTTAGAGTCCTATTATAAAGTCGGCTGGTTCCAGCACACCCTATGAACAAGGCAGGTAAATCAATTAGGGATAGCTTGCTATGGAGTCAGGAGCTTTTTAACAAGTTTTAAAGCACTTGCCATCCAATTGGCATAAATAGACATTGCTTGAAAAGTTAGATTTTTTGTGAATGGAGTGATTTATAATAGAACCCAGTCTTTAAAAGTAAGAGACCATTAAATTGACCAGAACTGTTTAAGAATTTAGATATGTTAGAGTACGTTATCCAGTGGGTAAATTCCTATGTATTCAACAGAGTGGAGAATCAAATATTAATGTATTTAGGGGACCATGTGGTTTGATTTTCACATTAATGTGATATCCTGATACCGACTGAGCCTTTAAAACATGTCTGGTAAACACTAAATTCAGAACCAATAACCAAATAATACAGTTTTTTGAAATACATATGAAAGTTAGAAAACTACAACCATTCTAAATCCCCTTTTAAAAAAAAGTTGCCTTATAAGCTCGTAAAATTGTCAAATCAAATGCAATCATTCATACTCTCAATACAAAATGCTGTATTCCACTTACTCCACTATTCACCTAACCTTGCCCAAATAAACAAAATGACATTGAAAAACCACTTTAAAAAGATAAGATTGTAAGAATTTGTAATAATTTTAACTATCAATCAAACAACGCGAGCAGTCTCTTTCACAGCAATGTGAATGCACCTCACACGGCTGAATTCATTGTTGAGTCTTGGTGACTATGTCTGTCAATCTGTTCAGCCTGCTTCATTGATACCATTGCAAGAGGAATATAACTGGTTCAATATCCCTGTGGATGGATGCAGAGCTTTCTATATTGCTGGCTTTGTCATCCGCCTACTTCCGTGGCTGCCTTGGGAGGCTATAGTTAGTATTCCAGTCCTTAATCAACTTTGGAAGACCACAATTCAAGTGAATGGCTGTCTTTGTGAAGTTGGGAATGAGACCCAACTCTCACTTCCCAGACAGAAGAGGAAATTCAGTCCAATGCTCCAGGTTTATGACCTTCAATAGAGCTGAGAAAAGGTTTTGGAGTAGATTTGTAGCTCGGGTTGTGGGTGTTGAGGTTGGTTGGCTCGCCGGGCTGGTTCACCAAACCAAAAAAAATTTCTGAAGAAGGGTCTCGACCCGAGACGTCAGCTTTCCTGCTCCTCTGATGCTGCTTGGCCTGCTGTGTTCATCCAGCTCTACACCTTGTTATCTCAGATTCTCCAGCATCAGCAGTTCCTACTATCTCCATCCAGACATACATGACTTACAAATACAGCTGGATCACTGGAGCATCTTGTGACAAAAGTCAAGAGAATTTCATGGAAATTAGGATTGTGATGGAGAATTCTTTGCTGTGGGTCAAATTAGGTGAAATTTCATCCCCTTGTTGTTATGAACTTCAATAAGATGAGAAATGGTTTTGTGACGTATTGTGGATCCCATCTATTGCCTCTATAATTGAATGACATTTTAATGCTTCCACTTCAGATTCATTGTCAAATAGATGAATTTCCAGGTTTCCAAAAAATTGCATCACTGAATTTGTAATTAAAAGATCTGTTGGAATGGTACATACACAGACCCCCGTTGCAAACTGAAATGAGCCAGTAGCATAAAGATGCTCAATACAGAATTTGGTTGCAAAAACAGAATTTGCTGGAAAAGCTCAGCAGCTCTGGCAGCATCTGTGGAGAAAAATCAGAGTTAATGTTTCAGGTTAAGTGACCCTTCCTCAGAACCTGTTCCGAAACATTAACTCTGATTTCTCTTCACAGATGCTGCCAGAGCTGCTGAGCTTTTCGAGCAATTTCTGTTGCTGTTTCTGATTTAAAGATCCTCCGTTTTTTCAGTTTTTACTCAGAATTTGGTTGCTACTGGCATAACATTTCAAGGGCCACATATGGGGTGGAGGCTGGCATGTGGAAATTGGCACATTTATTCAGGATTTCTTTCTGAAACTAAGTCTGTGGCGGCACTTTTTATTTGTTCTGGGGATGATACTGTATGTCACTGTCAAGCCCAGCCTATACCAAACATTCCCTGAATGCCCCGGGAAGGTGATGGTGACCTGCCTTATTGAACCACTGCAGTGCTCCTGGAGAAAGTAAACCCACAGTGCTTTTTAAATGCTTAGTATCTTTTGGGTCTGTAGAGACATTTGGATTGTAGTGTGCACTCCTTTTCTATCTCCTAAGCTATCACATCTCCTTTCCTCTTTTCTAGTCTTTGCCCCCTTTTTCAGTCTTACATATATTGAAATTCCCATAGGAGAAGACATAGTATTCAACCTTATAATTTAATGTGGGCTGATGCCAGAAGTTCCAACTGACGAGATAATGTTTATAGTTTTAAAGACACCTGACTGTTGCTCAGGGAGTAAAAGAAATTTAAACAAAATCCAAGAAAACCTACAATACGAACAAGGGTTATGCAGACTAAAAGCAAAATATAGCACTTTCTCCAAGGTCTTCTGAATCTAGTAAGGCATTTACCTGGTTATAACTTAGAACAGATGGGGGAAGCACAGGCAGATTTGCAAGTGACACACTACCATCTATTAAATGCCTTACCTAAGCAATTTGACTCCATAATGGCTATTCCACTCACTTACTC